GGTGCCTCGATCCTGGACATTTCAGCCTCCGGAACTCAAAATAAAATGTTCTCTTTATAGGCCACTCCGTCTGTGGCATTTCTTACAGCAGCCACAATGGACTAAGATGAAGACAGAAGGACTCACGGCTGCCATTTGGCTGAGTACTTGGAGAGTCCCAGCACAAGGCTCTGGATATACGTGTTTTCCAAAACTCACAGTTGGAAATACCAGCACTCAGTGTGATGGGAAGTAAGTCACGAAAGGGAGCCATCATGAATGGCATCAGATTCAAGAGAAAATTCCACTCTCTGCCATTAGGTGACTCAATGAAAAGATGGCTGCTTATAAACCCAAAGTCATGTCTGTGTCATACTCCAGCCTTTGAGCCCTTTGATCATGGCTTTTTATTCTCCAGAACTGCGGGAAATTGATGCTTGCTGTCAGTCTACAGTGTTTCGTTTTAATACCACCAATTGACTGGAATGCCTAAAAAGGAAGTAATTCCATATTTTTCCTCCTTTATCCTCTGTTGGGGTTTGTAAGGCCCCTCCACCGATTTTCTTAAAAGTTTTCTAGAAGGTTGTGTTATCTGACAAGGCAAATGACCAAGAAACAACTCCTGACAATCCTCAAGAAGAATTGGAAAAAACCTCGAATGAAAAAAAATATGAACTAGAAATGGCGCTAATTTTAATTTTATATAAATTCTAAGACCAGAACAAAATATGACTATAAAAACTTCCTCAAGGGGAGTCCAAAGCACATCAGCATCTCTGTGTTGCTCGTTTCCCGCTGCAGGCTTGATTCGGGACAGGGTTTGGACATCCCTCGCTTCAGTTCCCCTTTGTCCCCTGACGCTCAGCAGTGGATTTTGACCTCGTCACATCTGCTCTGTGTGGAACCTTGCCAGTTCCAGGTTGCCATGGATGTAATTTTTATGGATGGTTCCATCAAGCATCGTATGGTGCCTGTTTTGGATACTTTCCAGGAAGCCCAAAGATTTCTACTCATCCCTAAGGACCTCGGGAAGACTTACGAAAAAGCTCCTCGCTGATTAATAACAAATTCTACGGCCGGTATCCACAACTGTTTGTGTTATGGATGAGGTAACCATGGAAAACACAATAAACAAAACAGAAATAGCCCTTGCTCTGTGGTGAACATGTGACCATGGACATGCTGCCATGGGAGATTTTCTTTCCTTTAGCTTTTCTACTTGTGGTCTGCAAAATAGGAGCTCACCTGGGTGATTTCAGGCTGACGTGTGTGTGTGAGTGTGTGTGTGTGTGTGTGTGTGTGTGTGGTGTTTAATGAAGATTTTACTGTCTAACAACGAGTACAAACAAAAAGTAATTTCTGGTGTCTGTTGTGATTGTCTGATTTCTCCCTTGATGCATTTTCTGTAAGAATGGAATCTGTGTGCTAGTGCCCAAATACTTCCCGTACCTCTATAAAGCAGCATTTTCCTTGTGTTGCTTCTCCCTCTCCTGTCCTCCTGGTATTTGGAGGCTCAAGAATTTCCCTGTCTTCAGGACACCACAAAAAAACACATCTTGAAACAGAGACAAAGAGCTTTCTCAGTCACCAAAAGTTGCCTCTTTGGCTTATCCTTAGCTGAATGAGGGACAAGTTCAGACCTCTGAGTGGCAACTGACTTCTAAGACCTACAAGACCCACACAGAAAACCACAAGTCATTGGCTAATCCCGCCCAAAGAGTTAATGTTTAAGAGTTTGAAGACAATCACAAATGACTGGCTCCACTGAAGCTCTGGGTTCTTGCTTAAGTTATCACTTCAATGAAAATAGTTGCTAACATTTGGGTGCCGACAGGGTGAGGTACGGATTAATTCACGGATGAGAAAACTGGGACCCACGGCTTATCAAAATTTGAAGAGTCAGAACCTGTTGACTGAACAGTCTCCATAGCACCCCTTAGCATTGCAAGGCCATTTGGCCTCAGCTTTGGTCTCTCATGGTGTCTTTAAACTCTGACATCTAACATTATCTTCACACAAAGACATGCAAATAGTCACGTGTATATGCCAGGGAATGGGAAAAAATTGGACTCACAGGTTTACGACTTGGACCATGCTGTCCTAAGTATACTATGGATAAACACAGACACAAACACACAGACACACAGACACACAGACACACACACACACACTTTCCTTAATTATCTTGTGAAGAACAGTTGAATTTCATTTTCATATGTTATTGTCTTAGTAAGGTTCCTATCACTATGATAAAACACCATGACCAAAACAAAGTGTGGAGAAAGCAAATAATTCAAGTCACACTCCATCACTGAAGGAGATCAGGCAGGAGCTGAAGCAAAGGCCATGAAGGAATGCCTCTTACTGCCTTGCTCCTCATAGTTTGACCAACCTGCTCCCTTACACCATCCAGCACCAAGGGCCTGGGGTGGCCCCACTACAGTGGGCTTGGTCCTCCCACTTCAATCGTCAAACAAGAAAATATCCCACAGGTTTGCTCATAAACTAATCTGGTGGGGGGCATTTTCCCAACTAAAGTTTCTTCATCCCAATTAACTCTAGCTTGGGTCAAGTTGATAGAGCACACACACAATTTTTACTCAGTCATTTAAATACAAATATTTCAAATACAGTTTTTGTAAGTCTGTTTTAATACTTCTTATTTTAATGTATATGGAGTCTGCACAATGAAACAGACCATCTTCTCTCCCTTTTCTGTGTTATAGTTTGTATGAGGAAATGGAAGCATCTATTTCTTAGGTCTCCGGGGTCATTAGATGACCTTCTACTGGCAGACCTCTGCTGTGGGTCTTGTACCCTGTAAAGATTTGTCACTTGTATTGGTTTAATAAAATGCTGATTGGCCAGTAGTCAGGTAGGAAGTATAGGTGGGGCGACCAGAACAGGAGAATTCTGGGAAGAGGAAAGGCTCAGTCTGCAGTCGTCACCCAGATGCAGAGGAAACAAGATGAGAATGCCTTGCTGATAAAAGGTACCAAGCCACATGGCTAACACAGACAAGAATTATGGGTTACTGTAAGTTATAAGAGTTAATAAAAAGCCTGTGTGAATATGCCAACCAGTTCATAATTAATGTAGACCTCTGTGTGTTTCTTTGGGACTAAAGGACTGTAGGACCTGGTGGGACAGAAACCCCTATCAACAGAACACTGTGTTCTGCCCAGCATCCACTGCTCTAACACCAGGCTTACTTTGGGGGATGGTTTGGGGAGGAGATGCTATGTGGGTCCACACCAAGAGGACGTTCCTGGAGAATATCAATCAATGACTGCCCAATAGAATTTTTCTCTGACTGTATAGAAAAATACCATCCTATAGAAAACACTCATCTTCAAACCCCTGTTGTAGCTGCCAATCAATAACACTAAGCCTCATGCTGGCCCTGGGAAGGAGGAGATGCTTGCACTGCCCTTTCTATTTTTCAAAAGGGGAACAAAAGCCAAGCAGTGTACCACGTCTTTCTCGAGGGAGCACAGTGCTCAGGCAGGGCTGCTAGGGTTATTCAAGACTCCTGGCTTGGCACGGTGGGTCAGACCACACAGCTTTCCTGTGTTCCACGTGTCTTACAGGAACTACAGTGGAGAACAGCACAAGCCTTACTGTTCTTGTGGCACTATTCAAACCATCCGCTGTAGTTTCCCTGAAAGAACCTATTCTCCCTGCGATTGGTAACTTGCTGGGAAGATAATTAGATCTGCTGAAGGACAGCCACAAAGGCGATTTCAGCAGAGATGCGGAGCGGGCGTTCTCAGCATTCGTGAGGTATTTCCTTTTCAGCCTTTCCCGTTGCAAGGGAGGTAGCAGGTATATTTAAATGAAGTTGAGCTGGTAAGTTAGCATATTGCAATAGAAACACATTCCTTGTAGTCTTAAAAAGTTCTGGTCTAATGCTTGTTTTTGATAAAAGGAGATATTTTAATTTAATAAGTAAAAGAAGAACCCTTGCAACTTTTTACTAGTGGGCACACACACACACACACACACACACACACACACACACACACACATTCAGCAAAGAAAAAAACAACCCGAACAAACAGTGTTTGATCCTTCTTTGCTTCAGGGCATTCCATCCTTCAAGGGACCAGGGAAAAACAACCTCATAACTTTACCACCAAAACGTCCAAATTTATTGAAATACAATGTAATGGTAAATATTGTTTTCTTAGCAGAAACACATTTTTTTCCCCTAAACAACCACTGTGGCCAAGAATGCCTGGTTTTGTTTTTATAATAAACTCCAAGAAAAATCTTGAGTTCCACCCTTGCTTTGGGGCTTGCTTGGAGCAAAGGTTCCTGTCTAATTGTTCAGTCGGATCCCCTGTTTAACCTGTGCTTTGGGCGTTTATTTCATGTTTGTACTGGTTCCACACAATCGTACTTAAAAGAGATTGCACATCCTTTCTTCTTAGGCAAAGCAGAACAATGCAAGGCTAACAATGCCAACCCCTTCCCAGGCTTATCAATAAGAGAAGCATTCAGCCTAAGCAAACCCTGCTATTGTAAACAGTCAGAGATTGCTCATCTAGCCACATTCCAGGAGACCTGCCTCAATGGAGAGTCGGCTCTCTCTTCACAACCCTGTGCCCACCCCTCACACGGCTTTTCAGACGGTAAGGAGCTGCTCCAGTGTTACTATATTCCTTATGGGAAACAAGCTGAGTTTTAAAGAAAGCGAGAAAGGAGTAAGTCACTTAAAGTTTCCACACAAATATCACATTTTTAACTTACTTTAAGCATAATTAAGTTGCTTTAGTGACACAGCAGAAATCTTGTTCTAACATTAATAGCTTAGCATTGTTTATTTATAACACGCACAATATGGTGATTACAGCTAACTAGCATCTACTTCTATTACAGTCCTCTTTAAACTGAAATTTACCGGCTGGTTTCGGCATTTATGCTTGTTTATCAATGAAAAGTACTTTGTAATGTTTTTATAACAACGAATGGAAAGCAGCCATATGTACATGTACACCTTTAGCCCTTGCCAGACATACCTTGTTTGAAGAAAGCAGTGACTTTTTTCCCCTAAGTTTTCCACCACAAAGAAGGGTTATTCTTTTTTCTTTAAGATTTTCTGCATCACAAATCCCATCCAAATTATTCTAAAGAAGAAGCAAGAGGAGGTCCAGGAACCTTTCTCTTCTTAGACGAGCAAAGCAAACATTCCCATCTACCTCTCAGCCCTTTGGGAGGCACATTTTGTCACACACACACACACACACACACACACACACACACACACGCCTCTCATACTGGGTTTAGTGCTGAATTAGGCGGTCCTCTTTCAAATTTCCACTCCCACTTGCTGTTTTGAGCAAAGGATTTCTAAATAGTCTTTTCTTACCCAAAGCACACATCCAGTAAGTGAATTCTACAATTGGATATTTTGAGATGCAGAAGTGGAGGAGTTAGATAGGAATTTTTATTTCTTCTTAAAATATATGTTTTAAAAACTATCCAAGCAGAGCAGTTGTTTTTTTTCTCCTCTCTCTCTCTCTCTCTCTCTCTCTCTCTCTCTCTCTCTCTCTCTCTCTCTCTTTTTCTCTCAGCACTAATGAATGTAGCTGAATTAAGTTGTTTGAAGACAGAAAACTGCAACCACCGCCAAGCTTATTCTACTGGCCTCTCCCTTTTGCATAGAGAACACACATTTTCCCTGCTTTGGAAGCTACTGTTTGCTTTGCTTTGTTTCCATCCTCGCTGCTTAGGGCGAGCTCCATGAAATAATTGCAGTGTAGGCTGCTGGTAACAGGACACATGATAATAATAGCGGGAACTCCGACTCATGTTTCACAGAACATAAAACCAAACAAAAACAAAAACCACCACCACCACCCCAAAAAACCCAAAACCCTCTTCTTGGATCGATCTCTTGGATATCTCATATCATCGAGGGAAACTGCCCATTTTAGTTACTTGGACATTAGTGACATCAACTGAGCTAAAGGGATTTGGAGCCAAAACATACATAAGGATATCTTAGCAATGAAAAAATAATCCAACCAAAAAGTAAAGTAAGAGTCCACCCGGCAGTGTCCAAGGCTGCACTGTCTAGCAGTGTGGTGTGACATCCTTTTCTCCAGCTGGGCAGAGGGCAGCAAAGAACCATTCCTCCTCCTGCTGGGGAGGATGCACTCGCGCAGCTGGAGAAGTGGACTTCCTCCCATTCCTGGCATGCCCCTGTCCTCATCTGCCGGCACTGGGTGGGGTGGGGCACTCTCTTCTCACGACTCCGGCTGTCATGTCAACTAGACTTCCTTTTTTCCTTCCCATTTGTGCCCTGAAATTATTTTTCAATCTTGTTTCTTCTGTCAACAAATCCCGGTGGCATCAGGACAACAGGAGATGTTTCCCCTCGGAAGGTGGGCGGTCCTGCTGCTCCTGATCGGGTGGCTTCATCTGAAGCATGACTGAATTGAGCTGATAAAAATGCTGGAGTGCAGATTTTCTGGCACTTTGCCCTGGGTGTGGTGCTTATCGTTTGCACGTAACACATTCCTTGATACTTAGAAGTGTAAAGACGTATATAGCGTGTAACATCTTCTTGATATTTAGAAGACTTTAAGGGCCAGTAATGTCAGCTTCAGTTTACAGATAAGGGACCTCAGCCTCAGAAAGTGCGAGCAGTTTCCCCAAGGTCATTCACGTACTGGAACAAGATCTCGTATTTATTGTTTAAGGCTTCCTCACTCTCAGTCAATGAGACTGTTTTCATGCTTACAACTGCCCTTTTCACTACTTTTAAATTTAAATTCCTATGGTGAATAAAGGACAAGTAAAATCTAAATGTGTGAGAAAATATGCGGAGAGCTTCTCAGAGATAAAGGAAATTGAAAAATCATGATGTGTGGATTGAGAGAATTTTAGGAAATAGAAGTGATGGTTACCCAAATTGTGACTGAAAATGACAAAAATTTTGTAATAGCAAAATTTATGTAATATAGCTTTACCAAATTAAAAATAACAAAAAGGAGTAATTCCTTTAAAGAGTAATGAAACGTTGTTTGATTTTAATAATAATGACCAAAAAAAAAAAATAGGAATCTAGCCTTCATGGCAGACATGTTGTGGCTTTGTTGTGCTGCTGATGGCAGGTCAAGGTGGCTACTCTGGACAGAAATCCAAAAGCACACAGTTGAATACATGCACCCTACTGCCCACTATGCACCAATGGTGCATGATGTGGTGAGCTCAGGAACACACGGAGAACTCAGGAAGCAAGTGTGAGATGCACCGGGTGAGAGACAAACACCCGAAGACCCCTAGAGCTCGCCCTGCACCTCCGTCCCCACAGTCTTCCCTGCGGGACTTTTTGTGGCTCTCACGCTCATTTTCTTCCTGGCTTGTGCAAATGTCAGCTCAGTGAGGCCAGTCCTAGCTGTCCTGTTTAAAGTGGACCCCACCCACTCTGAACATTTCCTTTTCCTCTCCTCTGATTTATTTTTCTTTTACAGTATTGATCGGCTTCAATAATGTTTTCACTTGGTTTTGTTTGTGATGAACACTGCACTAGCAGGATAAATACAGACCCAGAATGAAAGAGGCTTTGTCTGTTTTATTCACATACGCATTCTTGGCTCTTGAATCCAACGCATCCTAGGCACACAGCAAACATGAACTAAATGCATGATTGGAAAAACAAATGGCTACTTATAGTGAGGAGGGTGAAGTATCAGGATCCGTGGAATAAATATCATCCAAGAAAAATCTTAAGCCTCATGTAAGCCAGCAGTGCTGGGAATGGAGTCCACGCCCCATTCCTGGGCATCTGCAACAGCAGCAATGCCTACAACTAAACCAGCTAACTCGGTGACAATGAAGAAATCTTCACTTGTTTTTTAGAGCCACAGTATCACAAGTTCCTGGTGAAGAGCCCTGAAGTTGCTCCTTGCTTGGCATAGGGTAAAATATATAATTGAGGACAAAATTGTGGGGTTGGAGGGGGATGTAGTTCAGTTGGTAGAGCGCCTGTCTGGTGTGCATTGAGCCCCAGGGTTTATGCTCAGCACTGCCCAAACTGGCTGTGGTGGATCAGGTCTGTAATACCAGCATCAGCATGGGCGAGGAGGTAAGAGGACCAGAAACTCAAGGACATCTCAGCTATGTAGTGAGTTCAAGGCCAGCCTGGGCTACAGCAGGCTCTTCTGGGTGGATCGAAAGGGGGCAGAGAGTAAAACTGGGCTGTATGGTTTCCTCAAGGAAAGTGCTGCTTGTCAGTCACCCCTGGCTGCTTGAAAGCTCATGCTCTTTCGCAAATCGCTTGACACACGCTAAAGCTTGGTGTCCTAGACTTCTTGTACCCAGCACAAAAACTCCAATCTCTCCTTAGACTGTTCCCTGTTGAAACTTTTTATTATTGTCATAAGCAGTGAGCTTGATGGTTCTTGAAAATACTGTCTCATTTTCCCCCGTTTTTGCTCCATAGCATATGAGGCGATCTCCACACTGCACAGCTGTTCTTTTATGCGACTTTTAAAAATGCAGGCTGGCAGTTAAGAGCCTATGTAATGAGGCAGCCTTTTCCGACACTCCCGATACGTTTGCCGTGTGCAGGTAGAAAACACAAGAGTTTTACAAAGAAATGCCTTCATAAAACAAACACACTGAAATATCTCGGGTTTTATCGTGTTTGATGCTACATCAATTTTTCATAGAAATACAATTTGCCTCGAACTCTTCTGTAACAGCTCTGATGCTCTCCCTGTGCAGCTGGAACTCACTGCTGGAATCGGATGCTAGTTCCGTGTCCCGGAGGCTGCTGAGCAGCGCCGAGCACACACCTTTGCGGCATCAAGGAAAGTGGAAAATCCACCTGCCCAATTAGCCTTCATTAAATTTATATCTCCACGGTTGTCAGGAGCAAAGAGGTTGTTGTTACGAGAAGAATTTACCTTTCCAAGAACAGGAGCCAAATGAAGAACGGGGCAACTTACGGGTTTGGGAACAGATGGGCAGAGAATTTTGCTAAGCAATGTAAGACTAAAAGAAAGAGGATGGGAGCATGGCAAAGGAAAAATTAATTACATACCAACCACGAGCCACTAATTGTGAGCAAAAGGTAAATTCAGTGACGGAAAGGAGACGGTTGGGCATTTGAATACATCTTCTTCTTCAGGTCATTAAAGCCAACTGCAAAAAAAAAAAAAAAAAAAGAGTGTTGAAAGATTACTACTCTCAAATGCTGCCCAGAAGCCAGGGAGTTGGACCCACTGTAAATACTGGACAATACTCACAATAATCTAGGATAAACAGACAAAAAAATAAATCCAGATAAGTCACCGTGACTGTCGTGGCATATAAAAGAGGCTAAAAGACCTAGTTAGTGACCGACGACAGGAACTGGAGAGTTGCCTGTGCATCCTAGGAATGCGTGGCACTGCTGACCTGGCAGGCTTGCAAGCACAAAAGCACCTCGTGCATAACCAGGGTTCACAATGGGGAGCGGGAGATTATAGGCCTATGGCTCGCCATTATGCCCAGTGAGCAGTCAAATCTAAAATAAAAGACGGGGTCACAGAGCGTGGTTAACTGTGGAGCTCTGCTGACACAGGCTGTGTTCTACTCTGTGGTGCGGTTTCTCTCTGTAGGTCTTGGGCCAGCTGGAAAGTCTCTGCTATAGTGTCCCATTCTGCTGTGGGGACAGCATATACCGGAGAAGATCTTCTCATAGCAACGATATTGCTATAAGAGGTCAATAAGAAGGTTAGGATTCTTAGAACTGGCCTGATGGGTCTGACCCATTCTTTCAGCTAAAATTCCATCATGAGGACAAAGTCAAGGGCCTTGTACTAGTTGCCCATGAAGAGGAAATGGCAAAGGCTAGGGCCTGAAGCTCGGTGTTTGAAAATCTAACTAGTTTGTTCTAGGTTCTGAGTTCTAGTCCAGCACTGGTAGAGGAGGAGGGAGAGAGAGGACAGACTTTGGCAAAAGAGTGAATGGATGTTGAAGAGAGGAGGGAAGAATCAGGACCAGTAATTCAACTGGCATGCCGTTCATTCACTGTTAACCTTTCTTTGTCCTTATGCTTATCATATATCTCGTCAACGGCATTCAGTTAGATTTTTAATTTTCCTAGGTTGTTTCTGCATTTAAAAAATTTGATCCATTTATATTTATTGTGATCACTGCCATAGTTGGGGTTATTTATGTACCTTATTTGTATCTTTCATTAACTTTCTGTCTTTGCTGATTTGCATTTTCTGTCTTCTGTTAGATTGATGACA